GGATGTCGTTGTTGAAGCACTGGTCGAGCCATCGCGCGCAGATTTGTTCGTAAGTGAATTCCTCGTCCTCGTACTTCGCGGTGGCGTTTCTGATCAGCCAGTCGAGCTGCCTCAGCTCCTGCCAAATCGCGCTCTTCAGCATATTATGCCCGCCATCCTTGGGAATCACGATTACATGACCGAACCGGCCTGCAATAAGCAATGGGTTTAATCGATCATTAACTAGGAAGTAAGATGAAATATCGCTTCCGGTGGTAGCAAAACACGATTGACTTCTCTATTGCCTTCCTAGAAACACGGGGAGTGTAAAAAAGTAACAGGAAGTACGGTTATGAAAATATTTTATAATGGAAGCTAAGAAAGTTAAAAGAAATCTACTTAAAGTGGACTCTATTTTAAGAATTAACAAATTTGTGATTTGCTTTTAGGATATTACGATCGCATCAATGCGTTTAAATGCGAAAAAATAAAAAGCGTTCGTGTTCGTTCAAGGATTAAAAAATGTTGTACAGCTTTTCTTGAGAAATCTTACAAGCTCAAGAGAGCTATTCTATATAATTCTATCTATGTCAGCTCTCGAGAATCGGAGAAAGATTTCGAGTTTACGGAATTTCAAATTCACGGAATTTCTCGCGGGCGTAGAAATCGCGCAGAAATATAAATGATCGATGAGATTCTCACCTGGTCGTGTGATACGACCGACATTGAATTGGTGGCTGTAATTGACTTTGAAGTACTGCTCGACTATCGCTCGCTCGGTCTTGCCGGGTCCGTTGACGGGCGAGAAGAGGTATTCGGGGTCGATTTCGTAGTGTATCCTCTGGTAACCGGTGAAACATATGCACGCCAGCAGTATCGGCACGATTACGAAGTAGCCGGGGTGTCGACCGACAATGAGGCCAACCTTGTAAAACGCGCGATTCAAAAAGTCGTCGACGCACGTCAAATGCCACATCTAAAAGCGAAAGTGCAATAAATCGTTAACCATTATTCGATTTAATCGTGATAATCGACTAAAATATACAAAAACTGCATATATAATAGGAAAGACCGAGAGACCGAGTTGAGATGAAATCAACCTGCAATCAAAAATATGTAAAATGGAGAATGTAAATTTATTCTTGCCTAAGAAAATTCTCAAAGTTAAAAGTCAAAATAAATTAATTCTTGCCTAATTAAAATTAAGAAATGAGAAAAGAGTAATTATTAACATATAATGAACGATTATGAAAGAGGTATTTAATTAAATTGTTGAAGTGTTTTTTAAGAGATTTGATAAATAATGATGTGAAACGAGAGAAGATAAAAATCCACGTCAATTTTCGTCGCTCCAGGTGAAAACTAAAAGCGGCGGGATGAAGTCCGGGAAGTAATCGCTTCCTGCAAATGATTCCTCAAACGATTCGCAATCGGTAAATCATTTATTGCGTACAGAAACTGTAGAAAGCACGTCCTTTATTCAGGCGCAAGAAAACGTTCCGAGCTGTTCAATTAGTGTTTTGCATCTACAACGCATTGCGCGTATATACCGCGGTAAATGCAAAATAACTTGCTGGGCGAATTGCTGTACAAGATTCAATCTCTCATACGGTTCGTTGAACGCCGCAATGCGAAAAATGCGCCATAACGTTTTCTTGCTCCTCCTTTCTTTTCGTCTTTCTTGTTCTTTCGCAAAAATTTATTGTCTGCTTAAACGTCAGCCAACGCGCCTAGTACTGTTCGTTTATTGCTTGAAATTAGAATATTTCTTCTGATGCTCTACGCGACAGCGAGAAACGTTTGTGTTGCGGAAAAATTTATCATCCATATCTTAAGGCGTCAAGCCATGATTTTGTGGAAATGAGATTTCAGTAAAATGATGTAATAAAGGTGAATAAAATGAGATATAATCCACTTTTACAATTGATATATCAAAGATATTTTTGGTATCGAATATTACGAGTTAGAAATTTATTCCGAATGGAGAAATGTAACCAAATAAGGACACACACGTCAGAAATATAAAATATGGAGAGGTCAGAGATCTTTTATAGTCAAATATTTTAAGAGAATTATTGTTTTTTTTAGATAAGAATTTTTTTAAGATTTACTTTAGATAGTTTTTAGATAAGAATTTTAAAATATCACAAAGTCTATTTGTGATTGGTTTCAAACTGAAATGTCAATTTTAATCTTTTGAGTTATAAGCATTGGAGGATTTGTTCGAGAGAAGCATTTAGGATGATTGTCATTGAAACCATGTAGAAAAGTGTCGTCAGACTTGACCTACATTGTTCAGATTACGTGTTCGGCGTGCTGAAATCTCAACAAGATTATCATTGATTGTGCTTATAGAAGCAGATCGTTCACTAAATCGGCAATGCTGATTGACTTTAATCATTTGTATTTCAATTTGTAAACATTTTTATATTCTTTTCTCCTTTTTATATTTTTTGTAATTTCTCGAGTTTTATTTTATTTCGCTTAATATTATGTGATCTATTTTATTTATATTAATGATACAATAAAAACATATGAGATATTTTTAATCTTTGCATATCTCGTAGCATACAAAATTATATTAAGTAAGGAAATAATTATTTCAAGTTAATTTAAAATATATTTAATTTATTGGTTTTAATTAAGCAAGTTCAGCCAATCAATGTCGCGACGTAACTGCCGAGCCTTAATCGTTTTTCGTTTAAACTTGTTGCTATTCATAACGCCGCTGTTCATTAGTAATTCAATAAAATTCAAACTAGTATCTCACAGTTTTAATTACATATCCATGAGAAAACATAAATGATTGAAACAATTGTTCTAAGTTATTTAACAAATTAATTATAAATAAAAATCAAAATCCAAGGAACAATCACAATACAAACGTTTCTCTGCTATCGCTTAGAGCATTCAAGAAAGAAAGATGGAAGAGGAAAAAGAAGATTCATCCCTTGGTTAATAAAGGTGTACGGTCGGATGGTTTTTAATCGGAAACCCTTCGATCGCAACGAGAATCCTACATCTTTTGTTCCGACACAAAGCCTTTTTTCACGGGACGATGGTGCCCTCATAAGGGATTACATGACACGATGATCGAAGGAGAATGAATCACCTTCGTCAGATTTTCACGCACGTTCGTCTTCTCACCTTGAAGATCCGAGATGGTTTTTAATTCATTTTACGTATAGAAATTTATGGTAACTAGCAGAATTCAATCATTACTGTATATTAATCAGTTGCAGATTAAAAGAAGATAATAAGAGAATTTCCAAGGACAGCTCGTAGAATCACACAGAAAAAACAATTTTGTTAAAGTATCCAGAAATTTGGCCAAATATAGATCTGAAAATAATTTTATCTGGCCATTAAAATAATTATTAAACATTTAAATTTAATTATAATAAATATTAATAGAATAAAACAGAATAAAAACATACATAAAATAATTAGACGTTCAAAAGCAACGTGGTTGCTAACAAATTACTAAAAATTTAATAATTAAAAACTTTTATAATATAATATTATCATCATGCTTAAGTGACGCCTAATTTAATTGTCCAAGAAAATTATTTTTAAATTTATATTTAGTCAAATTTTTAGATTCAACAAAACTGTCTTCTTTTTCCGCGCAGTTATGGCCATATCCCTGTAGTTTGAGTATTTAAATATTTTAAGCACTCTGATTTAAATAATTCCTTTTTACGCGCGTACCCACCCGAATAATAAAGTTCGCGGTTGTAAAATTTCGAATTCGTCGATCCACGCGAAACAGAATGTTCCTTCCGAGGCTCCTTCGCGGAATCGTTGCATCGATATCGTAAATCTCTTCATAAATTTCCGCATAAATCGATTCCCAGCGAAATAAGGAGCACCGTAAATCTCCCCGGGAAAGCCCGGTACCAGCCTGGACCGTGGTTTTCGCGACACGAAACGGCACCGGCCGCGGGTATAGATTTGCTCGTATGACG